CATATTCAGTTTTTCATCCACCAGTACCCCCAAGTTCTTCTTGGTAAGGCTGCTCTCAATCTCTTCATCCCCCAGCCTGTATTGATAGCGGGGGTTGCCCCAACCCAGGTTCACGACTTTGCACTTGGCCTTGTTGAACCTCATGAGGTTCACATGGGTCCACTTCTCGAGCTTGTCCATGTCCCTCTGGATGACATCCCGTACCTCAGGCATGTCAACCACACCACTCAGCTTGGTGTCTGCAAACTTGCACTCGAACCCACTGTCTGCATCATTGATGAAGATATTAAACAGCACTGGTTCCAGTATGGACCCCTGAGGGATACCACTTGTCATTATCTCCATCTAGACATTGAGCTGTTGACCACTACCCTCTGGATGCTACCATCCAACCAATTCGTCACCCACTGAACAGTCTACCCATCAAATCCATATGTCTCCAATTTAGAGAGAAGGATGTTGGGAGAGACAGTGTCACAGGCCTTACAGAAGTCCAGATACATGACATCCATGGCTCTTCCCTTGACCACTGATGTAGTCACTCCATCATAGAAGGCCGCTACTGGGTTGGTCAGGCAGGACTTGCCCTTGATGAAGCCATGCTGGCTGTCTCTAACTACCTCCCTGTTCTCCACGTGCCTTAGCATAGCTTCCAGGAGGATCTATTCCATGACTATATCTTTAGCTATCCTAGCAAGAGCTTCCAGGCCAGAGCTGCGTAGTCCTGCAGACCACCCTGTAGTAGGGTCTTTTCAGTTCCCACATTGGCAGCGCTCTTCCTTTAGCCATTTATAGAGCTGGAGTGGAGAAAAGAGACAATGGTGGCACCAGAGTCTGGTCCACAACCTAGAGCTCCACATGATTTTAACCTTAAAGAAAAAAAAAAAAAATCTAATATCTAGCAGACAGGAATCTGAATGCTTGACCAAAAGCGCTATCAGCATTCCTGTAAAAAAAATTTCCCATATATAAGTCCTCACTCATCCTTAGAAATGCATGTGTTTTTGATTTACTGCATTGATAGCTCCTTCAGACTAGAGGGACTTCGTGCCATACTTTCAGAAAAACTGTTGATTTCTATACAAAACATTTCTTTGCTTCAGTGAATAAACTAATTTATTCAGCACTATCATCATATGTGCTAATATCTATTGTATAAGCACACATAAAATTATGATCACTGACTTCTGAAATATAAAATAATAAAAACTGTTATTTCCATATCAGGATGAAGGAAGCTTATCATTCTAGATACTTTTCAAATATAGGATTTATGTGTGATTTTTTCCCCCAGATTTACATTAACTACACTATGTTCTTCCGATGGATTGTGGTTTATTTTGGCAAGATTCCCTTGAATTGATTGACGCTCAGTTTCCATCACTTGTGACCTTTGCACTTCCTAAAGTGTCGGTAAGGACAGCCAAATATAACCAGTGTAAGAGAGCACAATGGGTATAGAGAGATTTTTAAGCTAAGGAGGTAAGACTAATTTCAAAACTCTAAACACCTCTATACTGAAAAGAATGAAAATAAGCTATTTGAAAAATGGTACATCAACATTATTTATTTTACTGCCTAATTTTTGGGAAAAAAACCCGCAGTACTTCAAGGCTTATGTGTGATACAATAACGGGTAACTTATCTGATATAATACATTCCATATCTGTTTAATATGCTTGGGTTCCTTATTCTTTTTGTATTTGAATCACTTTTTTATTTTCCCCCAGAAATTTTAACAAAAAACATTTGGAAATTATACTGATATATCTGCCACTATTAATAGTTCCTCCTATATCATTACAATCATCAGTCTAAGAGAAAAATGCATGGGAAAAGACATAAATCGTAAAGTTCAAAATGACTGAAAATTCTTGTGACATATGAAATCTCCAAATTGTGTAAAGGAACACCATGTACGTCTCAAAAATGGCAAACAATTTCAAGCTGTTAACTTGTTTCCCGTGAGAAAAGCTTTTCTAAATCTAATTTCAAACTGCTTGGAAAGATGTTTTTCCTTTAGGGAGTATTACTGTAACCATGAAACAAGAAGATTTAGGACCTTTACATCGAATGATCTGAAAGAAGCCAAAAAACTGTCCATCCTGCCAGCCAAGAGGATGAATGGAATAAGATGACTCTTTGACATCTGCTTACTGCTTCCCTTCAACATATAAGCAAGTACCTATAGGTGGGGACATCAAAAAGTATAGCCGAGGGACAGGCTGTTGCTACACCAGGTAGCTCCAATCTTTGTAACTGCTGTTGAATTACTTGTGTTATGGAAACAGAGAACAGCTGTTTGATTAATAACAAATTAGAGAAGAAAAATCAACACACACTACACCACAAAACCAAAAACTAACCAATCATCTTCCCCACAGACCTTTATTAAAAAGCCACCACTTACAAAGTTGGGCTATTGAAGTGTTACAGATAAAGGAGAAGAAAAAGACTTATTGCATTTTATGAATTAGCCTAGGGGGTCTTCAAACGTATTGATAGGTCTTGTACCACATCTTAATCAAGAAATTGTCTCATATCCCAAACATGATTGTATAAACACCTCTTAGCAACTACAGAAACCGTTTTTGTGGGGAAAAAAAATGGTATTAAATGGTATTAAAAGCAAAGCAGAATACTTTTATATTTTTCTCTTAATAAACTCAAATAGCCACAAAGGAGGAACACAGCCTGAACTGAAGAACTATTGACCTCTCTCTGGACCACCACAGAATTCCACAAGCCAATCTGGGAACATCTGACCTAGTCTGTTCTCCTGGTAATCAATGATTTGCTCCCCATAAAAATAACTTCTATGCTTAGCTCTTTTCTTTATAATTAATTTTGATGTAAGCTGATATGAACTTTTCTTAGATTGTCTGGAACCAATGCTAGAGCTTGCCCTCACAGTAAGACCTCCAGCTGAAAAGTTAATTTCCTATTAAGCACTTTTTCTGCAGGGTGAACAGTATGACGTTATCTTACGGAGTTTATGCACTAAAAACAAAGGTACGGAAATGGTGACTTATGAAAAAAGAGAAGATGTCTGGTTACTAACTATTTGTTCTCTTTTCATTCAGGAAATAAAAGGAAAACAGTAGTGAAGACAGGTGCGTAGGGTACCTGAATTCCACAGAAAGGTCTTGTATCCGATAATTTTTTTCTTCCTAATTCTCATCTGATATAGGGTAAGCTGTGGTCACATAACTTTAAAAAGATTAGAGATGATGACAGATGAAGAGATATAGCTATAGCTCTCTTCCTTTATTAAAGGTTTTTTTAAAACTGCATTCTCTCAAGGACCAGATAAAATTGGAAAGCACAAGCAAGACAGAAAATTCAGAGATTAAACTGCTTGCTTTTACAGAATAAGCAAGACAAAAAAACCAATGCTACTGCCTCTTTCTTCTTTCTGATAAATTCTTTAACATTTTCCTTTTCAGAGTCTCTCAAATCTTTAACTACTCCTATATCATATCATCACCAATGACATCAAGAACTTAAAAAAGAAACTCAGTACTAAACATTTTCTACTAGGCAAAAAAAGTGGTTCACTCAATAAATATGAACAGAAAGATGAATAGAAAGGAATTATTTACCCCAAACTGACATGGTGCTCAAAGACCAGGAAATCTGTGCTAAATGGAACAACTCTCTCTGTAACTAGATCATCCTTTATTCCAGTAAGCGAAACTTTATAAATACGTGCAAAAAAAAAAAAAAAGTCATATTTCTTAGTTTGCAACATAAAAATTATATTTGTATCTTTCAAGCAATTGGAATTAGGACAGCTGTTTGAGGGAACAACTACAGGCTTGAATAAAATCCGTGTTGTAGTTTTCCCTGTTTAATCTATTTCCATTACATTATTCCTGTGCTGTGTGGCTGTCTACCACTAGCTTCAATTTAGGATTGAAAATTCTTGGTAGAATACACCATTTCAGAGAGACAGATTTGGATAGAAATGAGAACAGAAAGTGTATTTTTAAAAATGAGGTTTTTTTTTTTCCTGTTTTCTTTACGTCCCCTTTTCCTAATCCCCTCTCAAGAAAGCTCATGAAGAAGTACATTTCCATGGGCTATCATTTTATGGTTGGCTACGTAGTTGTATATATTCCTTATAAATACATACTGCATCTTCATATAGGTGAATCTCATTGAAAAAGGAAGCAAGATTCACACTAAAATTAGTTTTCTTCAAAGTATCAGAAAGATGAGGTCAAAAGCAAAAAAGCCCAAAACCAACAAAAACTCCCTACCAAATACTGTAACAAAAGCAAAATACACTTGCAAACATTTTGAAGTATGACTATTTTTACATTATTTTTGAGGGAAATGTTGTTGTAAGGTAATTGTGATAACTGTCATAGCTACTTAGAGTAACGCATGTATCTTTTCTCCTTTAAGGGCAGCTCACAGGCTCAACGTATAGTCTTGGCACACTCTTACCTGATCACTAGCCCTGAACTTGAAGAATAAAAGCTGCACGTACACCTGAAGTAACATGCATTAAAACAAAACAAACAGGTACATTATACTAATACCTCTTAGTACAGTAAAGTTCAGTTCCTAAAAAGCTTTATTTGGAACATGTACCTTTGCCTGCACATGTCCTGACATAGTCTTCACTAGTAAAACTACAGGCTATTTTTCCAGAGTGCTTGCCCCATACAGGAGACAAGACACAAAAAAAAAAAAAATAAAATAAAATAAAATTAAGTTTTGTGGATAATCTCAAAATTGATAACTGGACATCGTACTTTATTTTTTTTTTTTTTTTTCCCTTAAAAAAAGAATACACATATATATATATATATTTGGGGGAAAAGAGTGTTAAACATTTTCTTCCAGGCAGTAGTCTCTTCAGCTGTTTTTTCTATGTATTTTAGAACTGACTTTTTTCCTTCCTCATAGTAGCAATAAGAAGGTTTAAAATACGCACGATAATAAATGGATTTGCAAGGAGCACTTGGACTGTAGTAAGAGTGAGAACTTACTGTCTTGCTGACATAATTTGTGCTGATATTCATACACTGGAGTCCTTCGCTATTGCAGCAACCTCCACATCTGTAGATGGATACACATGGGGGTTTAAAGAAGGTGTTTGTAGTTGCTCCAAACTCTTTTCCCACATCCACACACACTTCACGTGGCATGCACTGAGTTTTTCGCCATTCAGTATCAATACCTGCCAAGTTATAGGGAATTTCATGTGTTATAAAGTAACTGTTTAAAAACAATACTCTCCTACAGTAAATGAGTAGGATTTTTTTTAAAGTTTAGAACCAGAATATGCATTCAAAAGTCACATCCTTTATTCAGCAAAATACACATCTCTCTGCATTAACCTCTTGGTAATTTTTCTTCTTCGTGGGGATGTGACATATTGTCATCAAGCAGAAGAAAAGTCACAGTGGAGCAAAGAGGGAACCTAACAAGGTTGGGCAGATCTTATGAAATAGAATCATAGAATTATAGAATGGTTCAGGTTGGAAGGGACCTTTAAAGATCATCTAGTTCAATGCCCCTGCAGTGAGCAGGGACATCTTCAACTGGATTAGGCTGCCCAGAGCCCCGTCCAAACTCATTTTGAATGTTTCTACAGATGGGGCCTCTACCACCTCTCTGGGCAGCCTGTTTCAGTGTTTCACCACCCTCATTGTAAAAAATGTCTTCTTTACAGCTACTCTAAATCTACCCTGTTTCAGTTTAAAATCATTACTACTTGTCCTATTGCAACAGATCCTGTTAATAAGATTGCCCTCATCTTTCTTACAGGCCCCCTTTATGTACTGAGAGGTCACATTAAGGTCTCCTTGGAGCCTTCTCCCCTCCAGGCTGAACCACCCCATCTCTCTCAGCTTTCCCTCACATGAGAGGTGTTCCATCCCTCTGATCATTTTTGTGGCACTCCTTTGGACCTGCTCCAACACAGAATCACAGAATGTTAGGGGTTGGAAGGGAGCTCTGGAGATCATCTAGTCCAACTCCCCTGCCAGAGCAGGACCACCTAGAGCATGCTGCACAGGACAGCATCCAGGTGGGGTTTGAATGTCTCCAGGGACAGAGACTCCACAGCCTCTCTGGGCAGCCTGTTCCAGTGCTCTGCCACCCTCAAAGTAAAAAAGTTCCTCCTCCTGCTTAGATGGAACCTCCTATGTTCAAGTTTGTGCCCTTTACCTCTTGTCCTGTCACTGGACACCACTGAAAAAGGACTGGCCCCATCCTCCTGACACTCACCCTTTAAGTATTTATAAGCATTGATAAGATGCCCCCTCAGTCTTCTCTTCTGGTTAAAAAGCCCCAAGTCCCTCAGACCCTCTTTGTAAGAGAGATGTTCTAGCCCCCTAATCATCTTTGTAGCCCTAACAAACACATCCTTAACATGTCCGTGTCTTTCCTGTACTGCAGATTCCAGAGCTGGATGTAGCACTCCAGGTAGGGTCTCACAAGAGTAGACTAGAGGGGGAGAATCACTTGACCTGCTGTACAGCAGCTAAAGGTATACATGTCCTTTCTCCTATACCTAGGGTGAGTCTCACCTAGAGTGAAGTCTAAAGTAGTACTGCACACCTCCACAAAGTAATTTTAACCGGTCTCACACAGTGTTTCACTTTGACACTATATATTAGAAACATTAAATTTGATGCCCATTCTCTTAATGTGAAAATAATTTGAATACATGTTTACTTTGTTAACTACAAGAGTATCACTTAAAGCAAAAGGTCATTACTTAGCAATTATATACATGACAGGATTTAATCTCGAAGGTGACATTTGTGCCCAGATTGTCCAAGCAAATCTGGGCAAACATTTTACATCATGTTACATAGCCTTTTACCAAATACAGTCTTACACTAAACAGCCATGACACTCGCAGCTATACAGGCCTCTTTATTCTCTCTTGGCACCAGTTTTTGGTAGGCTATTCATCAGAAATGGAAATTTCACCTAATGTGTACCTTAAAAGTCTCCATTAAGGTACAGGATTTGCAGTATCATGTCAAAAATACACCTCCTGCTATAAATCCTGTGTTTCTCTGCCTGCAAGCACTTGCTTAAACTGTATGATAATATATTTTTACCCTGGCCATCTGAAACACTAAGGGGTATTGTCATACATGTTTGAAAGCTGTTTTTTTCTGGTTTGAGCATAACATCATGACAACTGCCCTTTTGTAACAGGAAAAAGCTCCAAACTGATTATTTGGCATCTTAAAGCAATAACACATAAGAGAGGAACGCAGTACCAGCCATGACACAATTGCAGAAAATAAGGAGAAACAGTTCAATGAATCCAACTATTAGTGCTCTCTTTGCTTTCTGCAAAATTGTTACAGCCTCTGCAAAGCAGGATTCCTTATACCTGAAGACAAACACTTAACTTCCTATATCCACTGAGATGAGAAAGCAGCCTATACCTTTCTCACAATGGGTATATGGAAAACACATCTGCAAAGCAACTTACTTCATTATGGGAGGTTGACTGTCACAGCTTTTATATTATAGACATGACATCAAATCAAACTGCTCAGGTTGGTTTACTGACAGTGCTTCGGTTTTAAAATATTTTTGTCACAACCGAGAAGCCTTCGGATTTTAATTTACTGTGTGTTAGAACATGTTTTGTGTCCTGTACTTACTTTTCAGGATCTCTGCATTATAGTGTGCTGCGGCAAATTTCAGGGAATCATCTGATCTTGTGTCAAAGCTGGAGTGTTCCCTGTTGTGTTGCCAACCTCCTTTCCTCAACTGACATTTGAACATTTTCCAGTATTCTGGGTAAAGTACTGTCATGAGTTCATCCACACTGGACACAGACCGCAACTGCTCTTCCAGGTCTTTGCTTGCATGAGCCTGTCAAAGTAACACGCAAGATTAATTACTTTCTCTATTACACAAGGTTTGCTGGAAACTAGCCTGAAAAACAACTCACACATTGTCAAATAAAATTGTGCTCAAACGGGTTTTCATGATAAAAACTGCTTTTGTCAGTCAATGCCAACAGTACTATATCGACAAATACTGAAATGTTTTGCTTCTGCCACTGATACTTGTAGTTCAAAACATCAGTGTGAGAAAGGAGCTATAGAATTAAGCCTATGCAAATTCAGTTTGCAGATTAAAAAAAAAAAAAAAAGGCATTTTTATCCTGGAAAGAAAAGTTTTCACAATAAAATTTTGAATACTTAAACCCCAAAATATTTAAATGATGTTCCTTTTATTTAATATCACATACTCTTAAAGTAACACCAAGTTTTTGCCCATTTTCCCTTGACCAGGAAAATTAAAACACCCAGAAATGAAAAAAAGATTAAGTTAAGAAAAAGAAGAAAATAATTCACATTATTTTGCACCTTTTTAGGGAAACTCTTAATAAGCACTAATCCTTAAATCAGTAGGAGTCAAGGACTTTGGTACCTTTAAGAATCTGAATTGCACATTCCCTCACTGCTAAGAGCTTCAACTGAAACTCTTCAGGACTCTAAGCACTGTGCTGCTTAACTTGCTGTTTCAAGAGTAGCCTCAAATCCTGTAATCTCACGTCCTTATTTGCTGGCTTTTACACAAACTCACTGCAATTGTGTTCTCCTAAAAGACTACAACTCAGATTTACATTCTGATTTCTCATTTATCTGGAAGATTCCTCTAGCCCCTTAGATGAAACAACATATTGCATCAAAGGACTGCTGTTATTCCCTGCCCACACTTCTCATCCATTTCTGACTTCCCAAAGGGAAGGGCAGTAAGGGGAAAGAAAAGCATTAAAGAACCTTTAGTCACCTCCTCAGCCTACGTGGCCCTTAGATGGCAGTATGAGACACAAAATATAGAGGTATGCTTTGTAAAGTGTCAAGCAACTGTCTGCAGACTCCGTACAGTTTACTACGAAGCTGCTGCTCTAGTCCAAGAAACACCAGGCTGTAAAACAGGGTAAAACATGCATCTAAAACCAGTAATACGAAACTACAGAAATTGAAATTTAAGACTCCTTATCAAACTCCACTACTAACAAAAAAGAAATTCTTTCAATCCAGTGATTTTGAACACTACGTGAGTAAAACAATCAGTTCTGAACTAGCTCACCTGAATCAAAACGGCTTCTTGTCTCAGACACAACAAAAACGGTACAAAATGGCAAGTGCTGTCACACCCACTTCCTTCTCAGGTGTCAAACCCAGGAGAAACACCCCGGGGTAAGGCAGATGCACAGAACTCATTTCCATAAATACCGTTAAATACAGAAGCCAAAGCTAATACAGATTTCGAAGTCATTTTGTATGTCAAAGTGTTAGGAAGTTAAAAAAAAGTTTTCACTAAAGCCTCGCTAACCAGTGTCCTGACAGACTACTTAGTCCTGGTAGATTTCAACAATCAAGCTATCAGTCTCAGAAACATGCTCATTCAGGACTTCAACTCTCTCCTTGCCTCCACAGGAAGAGTCATCTCTGACCCAAGCCACCTAGCAAGCAGTCTCTTGGGGCCTTGCCTTCAAATTCGTCAACAACACAGAGCATCTCACGTCCTACTACTCCACTCTCCTTGCAGGACGCTACACAGGTTCTCAATCAATGGATCACAGACAAAAATCCAAGCTGAACAAACAACTGATTCAGCTGCCGCTTGCTCTCAACTCTCCTGAGAGGTGAAAAGAGCAGGGTTTGAGTAGCCTCATGCCTGTCAGACTGTTTCCTGAGGGTGCTGCAGCCCATGCCTCTCAGTAACAGGAAGCAGGTCGCTGCACCAGTGCAGTAAATGCCAGCATCGCAGATGCGTGTCTGCCACGTGATGGGAGTATGTGTGGTACGGGAGGTCACGGCACAGAAACAGCATGTACATCCCGTTACAAGGCTGGATGACAGTCCATTACATAAAAGGCACAGGAATGGAAACTTGTGTTTAGTCACCTAGTAGCTGATCCTAGGAGGTCCTAGCAGATCATGGGGGTGACATGGAAACAGAATCCAACCAAAGGTTCACCAGCCTTTGATTAATCCCTTAAAAGCCTGTGCAGGCTACTGTAGACAAAATGTTGGCTTATTGCTGTTTCAGACATTTAAGATACAAGCCTAAATCATCAGAAAAATAAGTACTGAAACTCAAAATTACTCAGTTGATAAGAAGCCAGGGTATGAAGCAACAAAGAGGTCATATTTGTTAGAAATAACGTGCGTTGATCAAATCCTCTTTGTTCAGGAAACCAAGTCATGTCTTTCCAGCTGGACAGAAAATTTGGTATACATATATAAAATATGTATGCATAAAAGTCAAAACATGAAGAAATTAATGGCTTTAATAAAGTATTGTATCGAAGTTAATAAAGTATTGTTTTCAACTGCAATTCCTCCTGGATATTCCACGGGCCAGAGTGCCATGTTCCTACAACATGAAGTGCTCACTTAATATGAACAAAAGGAAAATGATTTCTGGAGCGGATATATAAAAGTACTTTAAAAAAGAATCATTGTTATTGCATCTGAATTATTTTGTGATTAGTTTAATAAAGCTATTTGCTTGTAAAGATGGCTTCAATTTATACCTACAAATACACTGTGGAAAACCAACTTGGTCACTGGAGGGCTTTTGTTCTCTCCCCTCTTCGATTTAGCAAGAAAGGGAGAAGGAAATCCGTACATGTATACTAAATACAGTACATGCGGTGCCCAGAGTTAAGGGAAAAAAAAAAAGAATACAAAAAAAATGTTGATTTTTCAATATGTTTCCAATCTTACCCTGAGACACAGATCAACGATCTCTTCCTGGTATATTCACTGTAAAACCATGTCTTTTTTAACTGCAGCAAATTACTCTCATCTGTGTCAAATTGTTTAAAGGAACATACATGTAAGAAGCTTGTGGAGTGATTTAATTTTGTACAGAAGTCAAACATTATTGTTGACGTGAACATCAAATGAAATCTTAAGTTCTGGTTGATTGGAAG